GAATGACTGCTTTGTGAATCAAATAGTTTTTCATTCATCCATCCCCATTTTTCTTTCCCGCTGTTCCTTTCGAGTCACGGGGCCTGTAACGACCGTGGATATTTTGAACAGTAAGGGCTGTCGCCGATCAACATGCTCAGTCGTCTGTGTTTCAGTGTGTGGCAATGCCAAATGTTCGATGTACCGCTGCTAGCCGTTAGTTGTCCATGGCCTCCTGGAATTAGGATATGCGTAGAGCCCGATTATGATGTTCTGCTGCGGCATGCTGATCACGCATCTCAGCTGTTGCGATAGTGGCTTCTCGATCTGGTGAAGTAGTAGTGGCCTGCAAACAAGGGTGCATCGAATTACCATTTTTAGAAATTTGTCGAACGTCGCCACGTCAACATGCGTTCGATTAGTCCACTGGTTGCATCCGGGATCGCATTCTTTCGATCGTTACTCAGTACTGATGATTTTAAGTAGACAGATAGCATCAAATCGTTTTTTAGCTCCTTGGCACCTCAGAGCGGTGTATCTTCTCATTACTTCTCTCACTTCACGGATTCATGGGTCTGTTTTCAGGTTTTGCTAGCCGTCGTTCAAAAATGCTAGCCCAAGATGCTAGAACTTTTCTCTGTACCTCATTTGCGTTCTATTAACTTTCTTAGGCGAATGAATTGTTTTTCCTAGAGTAAAAATGCCTGAGTTTTGATCGAAGTGATTGTTATTCCGACCTACTCGTACGTAACGGTGAAAGGATAGAGCGCAGGTTGATATTCATAATGGGAGGAACCGAATATGACCAGGTTATGCGCAAATAGTGCGAATGGTTCGGGGGGGGGTGAAAAGTAACTAAATTGAATTTCTCCTTGACATTCTTCGTGCCACTTCTGCGTCTGCTTGAAGATTGTGAGCAGGTGAGCAGTCAACACCCTTGGCGGACACCAGCGTGCATTTTGATGGGCATCGGTTCCCGCTTTTAATTCAAAAGGAAGTCTCCGAGCAGTACAAGTACAAGCGTTTGAAGGCCGGAATAGCTAGCAGTTGACTGTTTATTCCCATAGCATCCTGTCTAGTTTCGACCGGGGCGCCATACCGTAAACTTTTTGTAGTTCTGTGATACAAAACGGTGTTTCGCGCTCCTTGCCCAGGTGAATTTCTAAACAGTAAAGGAAGTCGCTTGACGTCTTTAAGTCGAGGCCACCCTCTCGGTTGACGGCTGCCACTACATGGCTTAGTAAAGTATTTTGG